AAGAAATGTTGAATAAATTCGCCATTGTGTCTATTAAAACAAGTTCTAAAAAAGATTTACTGTAATAAGATAACTGTTGATTTTCTATCAAAAATTTTAGTAGAGTAAGACCTGTTTGAGTCACATTATTCTAAAAAAATTCATTCTTAAACAATGATTTGATATCATTTCAACCACACATTTTTCAATAAAATAATATTACACGCAAATCAAAAAAATTCCTTATTTTTTAACCACACATTTTCCATCAATACACTATTCAAGAATGCATTATTACCAAAATAATGTGGCTCAAACACCCCCTAAATTTAATTTAGACATTTGAAAGTTTTAGATTATTTTTTGCAACTTTAATATTTCATTTAAAAAAATTATTTATCATTATATATATACATATATGTGCGCGACATATTTGAAGTTGGTCCAGGCCTCCAAAATCTCAATATCGATCATGTTACCAACATGAACACGACATGCTATAAACAGCTCAGAGAATTTGGTGCCGAGCAAAAGACTAGACGACAATGCTCTGAACATTGCTGGAGCTATAAAAATCATACAGCTGGCACTGAAGCTAAGTTCGCACCGACAACGTTGCAAAAAGGAAGGCCGATGCACATGTTTTTGTCGGTGCATGATGAGCAGCCGTCACTCCTTGGTAATTGGACCACATTTTGGCAAGTGCCCATGGTAGCAACGATCACTCTTTTCAATTTGAATGCTTATTTGGGTTCTGACTCCTATTTGAGAAATGGGGTATTGGTCACAACTTTCATCTGAGTCTGGCGGTGATCAGGAGCAGTAGCATTTTGCGATGATTGTTCTATGGTTTGGAAGTGATGGCGATGGTGATCGTTGAACATGGATGAAGGTGGGGTGTGGCAGTTTTGTTGTGGCATCGAAGTGTGTTGCTTTAAGGTAACGTATGTGCCATGAGAATACATTTCCCAGTACTTTTGTATTTTTCAAACATTTTGAGGTACATGTAGAAATTTTTTCTTGGACAACTTACAAAAATCCCCTTAAAATTATAGGTCTTCTAAAATATCATAGAAAAGCTTTTTTGGGAGTAAAAATACTGTATAAAATTAAAAAGTGACATCGTGTCACTTTTAAAGTTTAGTATCACTTTTTTATTAAAAAAATTACATACAGCGTCATTTTTATCAAAAAGTGATATATGTCAATAAAAAAAAATGATAGAAATTTCAAAGCAACAATTAGGAAAAAGTAACAAAAATTCAAAAAAAGTGACGAATTTAAAAAAGTGACACAGATTCAAAAAAATTGATAGAAAATAAAAAAAATGACAAACACTCAAAAAGTAACAAAATTCAACAAAAAAAAGTTACACAAACTCAAAAAAAGTGACGAAATAAAAAAAATAAATAAATAAAGGAACTAACACTAAAAAAAATGATAAACACTCTTTGAATAATTAGTATCTATCTTACTCTGTTAGGACTTTTGGTAGAAATTTATAAATATCAATAGTTTTCATTCTATTTGTTTAATCTAAGATGAAAAAGCGATAAAATTATTCAATTCATATACTCAATTTAGAATCAAAGTTTAAAGACCAAATCAACAACTAGAAGTCAATACTTAGCTCCAAATAAGCAATAAAAGTTTAAAATCAAGTTTCAACTACTTTAAAAAAGGTCTACAACATGGTTTGTATATCGAAAAACAATAACAATATTGACTGAATTAATTACCAATCCTTAACTCACAAGTGCAAATGTGCAGCTCACTACAACATTTAGAATTATACATTTATAACATCATAAAACAGAACAATGAACTAATAGGGGAAAGCAAAAAACTGAACATGAAAAGCTCAAAATGAAAATGAAATTAAAGAAAAAAATGGTATATATAAGCTGACAATGAAAAACCCAAAATGAAAATGAAAATGAAATTAAAAAAAAAATGCATATATTGATAATAGAAAAACAAAGATTAACATCAAGCGCATATTCCGATTTATATTTTAAGTACATAGAAATATACAATACAGAGATCCAAAATATGAACTTAAAAAATTACATTTTCGATCAAGAAGAATAAACTTTACAGGAAATAAACTTTTCGACGGAGTTCTTTATGGCAGGCAGTTCAGAGGTCGCAGGTTCGATTCATGGGGCTCTTGGAAGACAAGTCTTTCTCCTGGAAGGCAGGATATTTCCTGAAAGGTAGGAGTTCCTTGGAAGGCAAGCCGCATACATGGGTTTGACTCGCTCGATACTTTGACAGTTCAGTTGGGGGATTCTTGGACCCTAGTCAGTTTGGGACATAACCTGTGATTTATCTGGTCTGCGTGAAGAGGGGCTGGATCGTAGACCCCAAGATTATTCGCTA